ATGCATAGTCTTATTAAATATATATATATATAAAACTAAAATTTTTCATAATGTAAAAAGTAATTTATTCTACCAAAATTTTTCGAATAACATTTTGTAAAAGTCACTACACATAATATGCAAATACTAAAATTTATGATTTAATAACAAATTCTGAAAATGTTAGGCTTAACATTATATTTAATCAAGCAATAATCTCCGCCATGAGAAGGAACAATGAAAATGAATTTTTAAGGCTTTTTGGTTACCATGAGAAGAGCAAATAGCGTAGAGTAATCACAGTATCATACGTGACAATTTTACAGTTTACAAGGAGCTAATGGCGTCCCGATTTGTTTTTATTCCTGTGCACATCTTTTGCACCTTCTGGCAGCGTAGATCCGACGAAATTTTCATTGTATTATGTATTGTAGATACAAAGTTATCTACAATATATTTATTACTTTTTATTGAAATACTTTAATGAGTAAAATTGCATGCGAATAAGTAAACTTTTAATTTTATCAGCACAAAATTAGAATTTAAGTGAATTTTAAAGCAGATGACGCAATCGGGCATCAGCTCGTTCGCGGCAGTTCTCACTGGAAGTGGAAGGGTTTTTCCATTTCCTCTCTTTCCAATTAAGTTTCACTTTCGATAGAAAGAGAATTACTTATGAAACTAATGAATACACCTTTCTAGTATGAAAACAGAATTAATAGGTATGCAAGCCAAAAAAAAAAGGCCGGAGAACTGACCTTTACAGATAAAGGTAGATCAAGATATTTATTAAAATAAAATAAAATTGATTGTTTAGCCCTATTATTTAAGCTTGCATAATTTTTTCCGTGTTTTATCACTAAAACTATGAAAGAGGATATTATTGATAGTATTGATTCTATGAAATCGTGACACGCAGAAAGTAGAGCATCTAACATCTTTGTAATATATTCTATATATACAGCATACATTATATATACAATTTTGGGCCGCTCTTTCTGATTACCAACCGCCACTGATGTAAACCAAAATAAATGTGTATAAATTAAAGTCGTAATTTTATGTAACTAATTGAGTAGAAGTATATAATCTCATAAATCAGAATACAAAAACAAAAATCTACAATGATTAAAATGTACTAGATCATCGAATCAGGGCCCGGCATGGCCAGGTATTTAGGGCACTCTACTCACAATCTGCGGGTTCGAATCCTCGTCCCACCAAACATGCTCGCCCTTTCAGCCGTGGGGGCGTTATAATGTGACGGTCAATCCCACTATCCGTTAGTAAAAGAGTAGCCCAAGAGTTGGCGGTGGGTGTTGACGACTAGCTGCCTTCCCTCTAGTCATACACTGCTAAATTAGGGACGGCTAGCGCAGATAGCCCTCGTGTAGCTTTGCGCGAAATCCGTAACAAACAAACATATTATTTAAAACAGTTTAATTCGAGCTTCTTCAGCTACAATTTCTGTTTTTTTTCTTATCGAAGTCTCAAAAAACGGTACTATTTTCTTCCTCGGTTTAATAAGTCACTTAACTCTCCCCATGAAACAGAATGCTGTGATATAATCGTTTTATATTACTTAAAGGATAAATACTTTGTTAAACAAGCTTTGCAAAAATTGAAATTATCATCAAATCACATCAAATGGGCTGCTATCTATCGGGAATTATTTATACATATCTTTGCAAAGCCTCAAAAGGTAGACAGTGCTGTTAAACAAGCATTATTTACTCTATAAATTAAAATATATATATAGTTTTAAATGTAGGTTTGTATTAACATTATTAAAAAACTGATATCAGTATATATAAAAGCCTTATTGAAACAAGCACTTGAAAGATAATTTTGTTTAATATCTGTCTGTGTTTGCTTTAAAAATTAGTTACAAAGTGGATTACCTATTCTGTGCTACCACCGGTATCGAAACCTGTTGTTTTAGCGCTATAAGTTTTATCGTTGCAAGTCCGTAAACTTACTGCTGACCCACAGAGGGAGTGATTTAATGAAAAATTATGACTTCATCTTTGTTTTCATCTTTTGATAGTCATTATAGTGTAACGGGGATTAATACACTTGAATCATAAAAATGGTAATTATTCAGAATGTTTTTCAGATATCATAACAATTTTGCCGTGAAACAAGCTAAAGTAACTTTATTAATATCTTTAAATTGTGAAATATAATGCAATTTATTTTCAAAATATAGTTTAACAGAGGAAGCTGTTTGATTTTGAATTTCGCGCCAAGCTACACGAGGGCTATCTGCGCAATATAAAGAAAATAAAAAATAAAAATAAAATGAAAAATAGCAATTTAAAATTGATATTACACAATATAGACAATTTAAGTGATATATGTTTTTAAATGACAATTTTCTCGTGGTATATTTCTGTCTGTCTGTTTGTCTGTCGGTAACGCTCGCGGACGTGTTTTTGTTCGCTTTTCACAGGAAAACGAGCACACCG